CTGGCTATGGCTATCTGCTGTGTTGGCAGATGCATTTGACCTAGTGTTCCTAGCTGGTGGAAGACAATCAATATTTACAGTGTGCCATATATTATATGGCATCAATACTTATAGGTCAATTTGCAGGTGCTCCACAAGTGCCTATTCTGAAGCAAAATGAAAGAAGCTCTCTTCAAATGGTGATCAGCTAATGCTACTGTACAGATATGGAATACCTGCTGAGTGAAAAGACAGATTCCCTTAAACCCATCTGCGACCAAAGTGCTCCCCCTAAACTGCCATTTCTATCTCTGTGATTCCTTGTGCATCATCACACTGATGATTTGTGAATTGCTAACACTATAATGTGACATTTACAAAATGGGTATTAATCTGCTTGTGCAGAAGCTAAAAAAAAAAAGTTTGGCTGTAAAAATAATCATGCTTTCTGCCTTCCACACCTCACTCACCACTCACTCACCAGCATCCTGCAACAGCCATAAGACTGCAGTCCAAGAGACCACAAAAACTATGGTGTGGCCCAGCAGGATCCTGGGAGAGACCAAGGTTGATGGCATTATCTCTGCTCTCCAAAATGACAGGGATTTGCTACTTGAAATGTCCAGACACTATCAGAAATAGGTGTAATGAGTCCTGCAGGAAAACAGAAGAAATGAATTAAACCAAAGCCAACAGCTGCAGACAGCTGTTTTCCCTTGGGCCCAAGGCAAAACCTCTTCTCTGATCTGCATTTGGTGATGATTACATCTTTGAGGATGTCTGACATGCAAATTAGATAAACATAGAGAGCTGGTGCAAATATGTGTAACTGCCTTGAAACATTTGCAAGCAGTGTATGTGTCTGTGATCTCCTGCATGGGCAGCCTCAACAGAGAGTACAAGAGGGACTGGAAAGGATCAAAAAGGGGTTTAAAGAGAGGCAAGGCAGTCAGCTCTTAGAGAGACTTGAAAAATGGAGGAATGAACTGAATAGCAAACAGCAGTTTGGGGGGAAATGACTCTTAAGACTGAGATTCAAAAAGAAGGGATTCTGGCAGAAGAAATGTTTGGGCTAAAAGAAAGAGAGGAGATGAAAGGATGAAAGGGATGAGGGAGCACAAGGATTAAGCACTAGGAATTACGAAGAAGGATGGGAAGTAGATAACAAGGGAGGTGCCAGAACTGGTGAAAGACACTCCTGAGTATGAATGGAAGAACACATCAAATAATCAAAAAGAAGAGCTACTCAGGGCACTGGGATAGTGGCAGGGAACATTTTTCAGAGTATTCTTAAGTGCCAAGGTGAGGAGGCTCATTTTCAGAGGCTTCCTCTGTAGATAAGAGGAAGAGACAAATTCCTCCAGGGAACATATCAAAGCAGCAAGCACAGTTTCTCTCTGAAGAGGCTGTCTCTCTGCACTGGTTAGAGAGGAAACATAGGGAGCTGAACTGCATAACCACAGTACCTACACTGTGTACCTAGAGCAAACACATCTCAGAATAACAGCAGCTAGGACACGTGAACAGAGATCATTTGGATAGCAAATAGTGGATAAAGGGAAAACAACAGAAATAAAACAATGAAATAAAGAAAAGATCTACTCAGAAAAAAAAATCAATTTTCCTTGATCATTCTGGTGAACTTTTGACAGCCCTTTCTCATACATTAACTGTGAGTAAGCAAACTAGTTGAATTGTAATTCTGTTGATGCAAAATTGAACACCTTAGATAAACAAAAGATCCCAAAGCCATGAGAATAAAGTTCAAGCATGTAACTTATTTATCCTTTTCAGTTAAAGGGACATCTGTATCAAAATTTTATTCTCAAACCAATTATTCTCTTGAGCAAATATTTATGCATGTCACATCTCACTGCATGAACAGTCCACAAATAAATTGTGAAATTTGTTCTTTTAAATTGAAGAACAGAATTCTCTAGCAAATAAACCATAGGCTCCAAATCAGCCAGATTTAAATACTCAGCATTCATGTGTAGCTTAACTACTTCCTTCAATCCTGTGGCACTGCCTATTGATTTTAAAAGGTGTGTTGGTATTAGGGGGTTACACAACCCCAAGGTTTCTTCTCAGGACCATTAAGCATTCACGTTTAAATCATTTTGCTTGCAAATTGCATGCGTTCACATTTCTGTTGAATGCAAAATAGAAAACAAACTGCCAAGGAGGTTTCGTTCAAAATGTCAATAGGAACTTGATTTATTTCTGTAACTTTAATGCAGCTCTCTGACTCTTAGAATAGAATCATAGAATGGCTTGGGTTGGAAGGGACCTTAAAGATCACCTAGTTCCAACCTGCCTGCCATGGGCAGGGATGCCCTGCCTCTGTTGCTCTCTTTCTCTGGAAGTCACTCCATCTCTATTCTGTGTCCTAAAGCTAAACATGAGAGGACAACCACTTCAAGCAATCAAGTTGCTACTCAGGGTAACAATAATCAGGGTCTTAAGTTTATCTTCCTTTTGCAAACCTAGCCTCTGAAAAGAGGTTTGGAAATGCTAGAGAAATAGAATTAGGGAACTATGCTTCTTGAAATATTAAACTTTTAATATTTTGTTTATGGTGGCGTTTTGAGGCATAAGACACTCATAAATTGCATCACATTCTTGCTATTGCACACAGTGCACAGCCTGCACAAGAGGGACTTTCAAACATACTATTCTATGCTTTTAGCACTGGAAATCCTGCTAGCAGGGTATGTTTCCCAAAATATTTCTGGAAATGTACTCTAGTGATTAGAAATAAGCAGGTGACAATTGCAGGACATCTCTGTACAAGAAAACCCCAGTGCTCAAAATAGAGGTGCCACATGGCTATATCTGATCCTAAGGAATTCATCCAAGTTTCACAGTGAATGTGGATGACAATACTGCTCTTCTGAATCCATTTACTTACATTGTCATTCTTTAATGTCCAAACACTATTAACAGAAGAACTGACCAAAAAAAAAAAAAAAAAAAGTTAGACAGCTAAGAACACCACTGATAACACCATGGAAAAATTTGCTAAGCATCACATTAAATCAGGGGAAGCAAGGCTAATGATGGTGGCAGTTAGGTAACTAGCTGTACTGAGCTCAGCCATTCAAAGCAACAGCATGGACAAGCACAGCAACGGGAGAGATTAGAGTGGAGCCAAACACTAACTGGTGTTCAGATATATAAAACTACCATTAGCAATGAACTTCCATGACGTCAAAATCCCAACAGGTTTTTCAAGGTGATAAAGGAATGCTGTGTATTTTATTAAATTTGCTGGAAAAGAACATTTCAGAAATGTAAGAAGTGGATTTTCATAAAATCATAGAACCACTGAGATTGGAAAAGACCTTCAAGTCCAGCCATCAATTTACCCCATCACTACACCATGCCCCTTAGTGCCATGTCCACACATCTCTTAAATACCTCCAGGGATGGGGACTCCACCACTCCCCTAGGCAGCACGTTCCAATGGTTGACCACCCTCTCCGGGAAGAAATTCCCCATCATATCCCAATCTAAACTTTCCCGGGTGTAACTTGAGACCATTTCCTTGTGTTCTGTCACTTGTCACCTGAGAAAAGAGACCAACACCCTTCTGGTTGCTATCTTCTTTCAGGTAGTTTGGAGAGCCCTTCAGGTAGTTGTAGAGAGATTTTGACTAGAAGCATTGCATTGGGAGAAAAATCAAACTGTCTAATTTGATATGTTATTGCTAATAATGATGTCCAAAGGGAAATTAAGCAGTTAGCTCCATGAACAGAGGAGTAAATGGAACCTGGATCCCCACGGCTCTCAGTGTTGGTTGGAGCACATTCTTAAGAAGATGAGGAGCTTTGCCTGCAGCTGGGTGTTTTTAAGGTCCTTCTCTCATATGGTTTCACTATTATCTAACAGAAGCTCAGTTCCCGCTGCACTCTTCATTTTGACAAGTCCATTTACAGGATGTCTCTTTCCTGAACATCTAATTTGATAAAAGTGGTAGCACCTTATTAGCTCTGAGGCCTCCACCCCTCTGTTAAATTTGGTCACGGTGTTCAATGGTTGCTGAAGAATGGGCAAACACCTTCCACTTACATACATGTGTGTATACACAGAGGGCATGATCCCATGCCTTTCACTTCCTAAGCAGCTTATCCAAACAAAAATAGAGTTTTTCCAAGTAATAAATCATAACACATTGTTCCCAGAAAAGGACAAACTTAACATTTTTTTCTTATCAAAATTTTTTTTGCAGCTTGCATTTTTAAATGATTTTTTATCTTACCAAGTCATTCTCTGGGAAGGTTTCCAAACACATCTCTGTAGAAGCAGAGGAGAACAGAGCTCAGACTTCTGAACCCCGCTCTTGCACTAAACAGGACTGTTGCTTGGTGTGAACATCACCTGCAAACTCATCTCTGCTGCTGTAGGTGCAGTTGAGCCCCACACAGCCTGAAACTGCATACTTGAGAACGGAACCACGGGAAGTCAGAGGGCTCCCAGGCTGTCAGGGCAAATTGCAAAGTGCCTCACAGCACCGCTGAGCAGCATCAGCGAGCCTCCAGTGCTCTCCTACCTCACTTGCAGTAGCTTTTGCCTGTGCCTATGAGCAGGAGAATCCCTCAGTGTATTTCCACAAGTCAGTTCAGACAGGTGGGCAGTATATCAAGTGCAGGGCTTGATATTCTTGTCTCTTGTCTATAGAGGGAAACCCATCCCACTGATCTCCTACCCATGCCTTCCATGTGAGAAGCAGTAGGGAGAGACTGTTCTTCACAACATCACAGACACTTCCAGTGACTCCTCACAGCCACATCCAGTGATGGAAATGAGCCCTTCCCAGCTCAAAGGAAGGAATTGCTTGGATCCATTAGGGGGGTTTGGGGTTTGTTCACAGGTTTTTTAAATTGAAGATGCCAGAGGGATGTGAATCTCATGCTTCCCAATATTAAACACAAAATTCCACTGATGACAGTAGCTGTCACAAGAGTGGAGTCACAGTGACATGAGGGGGCACATAAGAGCCCATGGAGATGGGGCCTGGCATTACAAGAAAATAATGAAATACGCTCTCTGAGTTTGGAAGACATTTAAATATCTATTGTAGGGTGAGAAAAAGCAAATACACGCTGTTCTTTGCTACACAGCACAAGTCCACTGTGTTCCATGGAACTGATTCGATTTTGTGTGAGAAAAAATCCAGACGAAAAACTTTTAGCGTTGTTCTCCGGGTCCACTTGCTGTGACTTAGGACATGGGCGTCATGCAGCTTTGCTGCTGGTTCCTGAGACAGAAACATCCCAAAGGGAGGATCCAGCCTCTCTTGCCGTGTCGTTCATGATGACATTCAAAAGACAATTTGCATAACACTCCTATAAAAGAATCAAAGATGCCACCTGAAACCACTGTGTGTGATGTATTTCCTTATAGTACTGCTTGCGTTTCAGTTAAGAAACAGTTTGTTTTCCAATACATGTTATTGCTTGCCGTGTTTACATTATGTCAAAAATGATAAAGAAGCAGAATCAAAACTGTATTAATCCCGTGCAGTTAATACTTTAAATACATGTTATTGTTTGAATGGTTTGAGCAACATAACACCTGAAAGAGTGCAAGCAACTAACACCAAGCTCTGAGCAGTACGAGATGTGGATCTGGGTGGAAGGCTGCTTCTGTGCTTTCTACGTGAATGTGGCTCATGTTTTTTGAAACTGGATATTTATGCTGGTCAACACCAGTTCATTGCACTGTGTGGGAAGGTGCTGGTTTCACTGAGGTGTTGCTGGCAAGGCTTCTCATTTTCCCTGTGGTCAAAAGCTGACAGCAAATGAGGACAACCACCTCACTACGGCAACCACCTAAGGTAATCAATAGCTCAATAGCCTAATTGGTAGGGGTATAGAGTAAGTTTCTTTCTCGTTCTCTCCCAGCAGGCCATCTGGAAGCTGTTACTCATTGTATAAGTAATTACAGAGGAATTGGGCCAGAGACAGACGCCCTAACCTGCTCCAGTGAGATTAGGACATGCTGCTTGCACCACAGTGGCTGGCTTCTGTATGTTCAGGGACACTTCCACTCCCAGATGGGTGTCCAGAGGCCAGGTCAGCTCACACATGATTTCACAGCAGCACAGCTCAGCCTAACAGCCCTGCCAGCCCAGCCTTCCACCTGCACCCACTGCTTCCAACATGCACTCAGAAATATCTGCAAATGGCCTGCCAGATACAGAACTCCCAAGGAGATAAATGAGCTCCGTGAGCTGGGCTGGCTGTCAGGTGTCTGGTCAATCATTTGTCTGCCATAGGGAAGAAGCCTGCTAAAAATGGTCCCAAACTGGTCAGATTCAGGCAGGAGGGCGTGCCCTGTGCTGAACCCAGAGAATTTGCACCAAAGACCACTTCCAGCAAACCCAGCTGCAGATTAGAGCAGGGCAAGGCTGATCAGGAAAGATCAGCCTTTCCATAAAAGGAAACTCCGGGATTTTTATTCTCAACTTGGTGCCATCTCGTGCCAGGAAATCACCTCCAGCGGAGCACTTTGCCAAGGCACAGGGGAAGCCTGAAAGCCTCTGCGCAAAGCAGCCGAGCCCTGCTGCAAGGCGTGCAGCTGCCAGGCCAACCTTGGCCACCTTTGGCATCCTTACATCGCAATCCCCCATCAGGGGCTGCTGACACAGGGCACGGTGGTCAGATGTAGTGTCAGCTGGTTTAGTCCTGGATGTGCTGCTAGCCGCGGAGCCAGGCACACATCTCCACCACACAACATCCCTGGCCTTGAAACCCTCAAGATGGTTTTGGTGCATTACCCTGTGGATCAGATAAAGGGAGCCCCATCTGCGATATCCCTGCGCACTTTGACTCTTGAACCTGTGTTTAGCTGAGGAGCGAGAGCAACACTTCCGCGAGCGGAACGCCGGTAGCAGGGCTTCCCTACCACACAGCCTTGGCAGGTCTGCCGACAGATCCCAGTTAGCAGCTTACCTTCCAGATTGCTCAACCCAGAGAAAACGCATGGAATAAAACATATTCTCGCCGTCTTCGTGTGGGGCGATGGTGGCGTGTCCTAACGGAGAGAGCTAGGGGACACCACCCCGTGGGGCGAGCTGCCTTCCCTCAGAAACCCGAGGGCTGCGGGGGCTGAGGGAAGGAGGGAGGGAAGGAAAGAAAGAAGGGAGGAAGGAGGGAAGGAAAGAAGGATGGAAGGAGGGCAGCGGGGGCGCGCCTCCCCGTCTCACGGCCCCGCGGGGCGGGCGGGAGCTCTGCGCCGTGCCCCGGCCGCCGGGATCGCCGCCCCTTGCTGCTCGGCGGGGGCGCGCACCGCCGCGGGGAGGAGCGGGTGCCGGGCCCTATAAGGCTGTCCCGGCGGCACGGCCCCGGCTCTCGCCGCACGCACACACACACACAGCACCGGGGAGCAGCCCCGTGTGGGTCTGTGTCAGGCCGTCGGGCGCTAGGGCAGGTGGCATGGGGCGCTTCAGCGTGTGGGACTATGTGGTCTTCGCAGCCATGCTGCTGGTGTCGGCTGCCATCGGCATCTACTACGCGTTTGCGGGAGGGGGGCAGAAGACCTCCAAGGACTTTCTCATGGGGGGCCGCAGCATGAGTGCCCTCCCCGTCGCGCTGTCCCTCACCGCCAGCTTCATGTCGGCTGTCACGGTGCTGGGCACCCCCGCTGAGATCTACCGCTACGGGGCCATCTTCTGCATCTTCGCCATCACCTACGCGCTGGTGGTGCTGTGCAGTGCAGAGATCTTCCTGCCTGTCTTCTACAGGCTGGGCATTACCAGCACCTACGAGGTAAGGTGGAGCAACAGGAGCCTTTCCGCAGCCTTCAGGGAGCTGGGGGCCCTCTCAGGACTGCTCTCTCTGTGTCTCCTCTCACGCTCTTTCCCAACTCCCCGCACTCTGTGCTGCTCCATATCCCGTGTCTCTCCCAAGGACAGGCTGCAACACGCTCTGTCCCCAGATCTGCCCACACGGCCTCTGCAGAGAGGAGATGCTCACCCTGCTGCTGCAGCTCAGGAGCTTTGCACCATGCCAGATCTGTTTCCTCACTCCAGGTGCTCAGTTTAGCGGTGGTTTAATCCTTGTGCAGCTTGGGTGGTGACGTGTGGTTAATGATGTGTAATTAATATACCAAGAGCATCTAACATACAGAGTGCATCCAACATCAAGAGCATCTGACATAGCAACCAGAGTTCTCAATTCATGCTCCTTCCAGGTAGGCTTCTAAGCTCAGGGGCAGCCACAAAAGTCCCCCTCTGGCACAGTATATGTCTGTGCTGTTCCTAGAGATTTTGGGGAGACACCTGCTGCAGCAGTAGATGTCATTTCCATTTGAGATCAGCAAGTGCTCTGTGTCTGCAAAGGTTTTTTTTTTTGCTTTCACCAAACTATGGCTGAACTGGTCTTCAACCCTGAATGTAAGTTTTAGCTACAGCTAGCAGAGCAAAGAAATCTGGGGTGGTAAGACACAGGTCGAGTCTGACTCTTTTTGGGTGAGGAAGCATCTGGTCAGGGCTTTCTTCTGACACAGAAGGTCCATGCAACCTCTTGATCTTGCATGGAAGATGGTTCCTAGCTGCAGATTTGGAGGCAAATCGCTTTTCTCACAGAGGGTGTTAGGGAAGGGGCATCAGTGCAGGTGAAAGTCCTTGGATAGCTACTTTGGTCTTTTGTATTTTATTACACTGAGCAGGGGCGTTGCAGGACTGAAGGCTGAAAACAAGATTTCTGTTGGTAGATTTAGATAAGAATTCCCCAACAGAAATAACTGGTGGCTTCCAGTGCATTTTAAACTATTAATCTTTGGACTTGTCACTTGTGATATTTAAAATACGTCCCTTCTCATTAAAGGCTGTTAATTATGACTAGAAACTCACTGATAATCTCAGGGTTTAGTCAGGGTAACACACCTATAAAAGATATACATTCTATCTGCGGACAGAGTTCAGAGATCAGACAACCTTTTACGTCCATCTGGGGGTTCAGCATTGCTTCCTGGCATGAACATGTTTACAGATCACAATTTAAACGGTCACCACATGAGTGAGCTCTCTAGATTTTTCAGTTTTTGTCTGTGTCAAATTAACAGATTGGCAGGTAAAGGAGATCCCTTTTGTGCCACCACATGCCCCAGGGGGTTGTTAGGACAGAGGGTGGAACGAAATCTGCCCTACAGCGTGACAAACTCATTCAGATGTTGTGTGCTCCCAGGCTGGACATAAAAGTGAGGGTTCCTGTTTTGAGAAAGGCTAAATTTCCACTTACTAGTAGAAGATGGTGAGCTGCCTTGGGCAGCAGAAGGTGAGGTTACTGTGGAGCAAGAAACCACTGGCCACTGAAGACCTTCTGCCCTCTCTCAGCAGTCTAGATGGATATGTGTAATGCTGGAGTTTCCAAACCGACTAAGGCTCAGGCATAACCGTAATGTTTTTCTTTTCACTCTGATTTCACAATGCAAACAGGTTCTGTTGTTTGCTGAAACGTCGTTGTGAACGTTGCAGAGTGCAGAGCAGGTGCTGGTCTTTGCCAAGTCCTAGTGTGCAGCTCCCTGCCTGCAGAGCGCGCTGAGGCAGTGGTGTAGCACCAATTTCCTTTTGGGGGGCTCTGTCACTGACTAGCTAATGTCTATGTCACCTGCTCACGTGTGGTTACCTAGCAGTGAGGTCTGAAGAAATAGCAAATGAAGTTGAAAGAGATATCCATCACAATTATACTAAGTTTTGTCCATTCATGAAAACAAAACAACACTATGCCCTTTCTGTATTGCTCAGTGCTTCACTGTAGTCCTGCCAATAATGGCAAGTTCTGATAAACATGTGTTTTTTCTTTTGCAGTATTTAGAGCTTCGATTCAATAAATACCTGCGGCTCTGTGGAACGGTCCTCTTCATTATACAAACGGCAAGTAAACCTCAGAGCAGTTCTCTGGTCCTTGTAGCCACCAGCGCTGTCCAGCTCAGCATAGCTGGCTGTTTCTCTGAGCAGCTGACGTGGTCATCACAGTGCACAGGTGACTGGGAGCAAGGCAAAGAAATCTCTGCTCCAAAGCATGCAGTGGATGCTGGGCTGCCTGCCCCAGTGGTCTCCCCAGGCACTGCTCATCACCCGGAGCAGTCACTTGGCATCAGTGCCCATGCCAAGAGACAAGTGACCCTTCATGTCAGGGAAACAGCATGTAAAGGCGTTGTTTGCCTGCCCTCAGCAACAAGTTCAAAATGTAAATGTGTCCTTATTACCTGCAGCGGCAGTTTTTGTCCTGTGGTTTGTGGATTCTGGGAGTCTGACTAATTCCCAAGGGTCTGTGACAGGTGACAAGGAAAACAAGCTGTCAGGAGCCTGTCACTAGCAGTACAAGGGTTTGCACCACTGCTGGGAAAAACCTGGGCGTCTGCAAACAAAAGTTGCAAATCACTGCCTCAGGGAATGTCAAACTAAAGCAGTCCCTGCAACTTTTCTTGGTGCGGTTTGCTGTATCCAGCCCGTTCGGTGAGTCAGTGTGAGACCACAGCTTTCAGACGTACAGTGAGCATGTGCCAGATGCTGTGAAACACCAGCATGAAAAATATGTTCTGTTCACAGTTATGAAGTAGATCTTTTGTGGAATTCAAAGCAAGAATGAATATAGAATTAGAAGGCTTTTCAAGTTACACTTCTGCTTGTTGACCTTTTTGGTATTTTTAAGACCCACTATGGGATTTTTAGGGCAATCACAGTTGTACCGCTAAGATAGTGATCACTGAAATGTTAATTTTTTATGTAAACAGTGCTGCTTAGCTGGATTTTGTGGATACTCAAATTCATAGGAAAAGTGAAGTGGTAGCATGCATGAATCATTGTGGTATTTCATGGGCAGAAATGAAGACATCACAGTTGAGTAAGTTGGAACAAACCAAGTGTAATCACGTCAAGATCAGAAAAATAATTCTATACAACTTAAATATGTATACAAGGAAATTCACTAATGATCTATAGCTGTCTTTCTGTGCCCAGCACTAACAACTTAAATAACCTGAATCATTAAAAGAATAGTGAGGAAAGGGAACTCCCTAAGATCCTAATGGTTTAATTTTAACCATTCTGGGACTATTGGCATGTGTTTAAAAGAAAAATAATAAGGGTATGTAGCAATGCAACCTGAAAAAATACTGAAGATAAGGAAAGATTGTTTTATCTTTCTTGCTTCAAACGACACAAAAATGTGATCGTATTTGCATCATAAAAGCTAATTTCTGATGGTTCAAAGCTTCTGGCACTCATTTGTCTCATACAAGAAAGCCCCTTTCTTGTGGTGACTCTGAGTGAGTGGGATTCAGCAGCTCACGCTGATGGTCACTGCATGGGCAGAAGTCACACAGAGAGAAGTCACACACTTGACAAGTGTCCGTACTTGTTGGTTATGAAGTGATGCAGCTGGTCCTGAGGGGAGGCTTGTCGGGGCTGGGAGCTCTCTGGGTGTGCAAGCTAAGTGTGTAAATCTGGAGAGGACTCAGAGCATAGAGAGAAACGAGTACGTGCACACACACATGGGCAGCTGTGGGCTCTTTCCCTGGTTTTCCCACCATCAGCAGATGTTGATCTCTTATCAACAGGGGCAGATGCTGATCTCTTCTTCCATGGTAGTCTCACCACCCTTTCTGGCCTGTGCTTGTACCAGGCACACAGCATGGGGCCAGGGTGATGTGGTAATGCTGGGTGCAGCCGCCCCTCCATGCTCATTGCTTTCCACAGCTGCATGACCCCTCCCTGTACCTCTTGGCTCACCTCAGCATAGCTGCTGGCCATGTGGCAGAGCTCTGCCACTGGGACTGGATTTTTCCTGCCCAAAAGCCACAGCAAGTGGTCCACCCGTTAGCTATCCTGTGCTGGATTAGCTGGGTTGGACTCCATATTTGCAGGAAGGGCAAAAGCTTGCTGAATTCTGCATAACTTCTGATTCTGCTGCACTTCTATGCCCAGGTCCCACTGGTATAAATCAGGGAATCAAAAGAGTTCAATCATGAGAAGCTGATGCAAGTCAGCTCAGCCTGGATTTAGATCCCTCGAATCAAGACCGCTGACCTTCACAGAAGTCATCTGCTCATTGCAAGCTGTATTGCTCAGATCCATGCCACTGCTGAGCTTGTCCTGGTAGTACGAGGCAATGGTGAAAAGGCACTTAAAAAATAAACATGAAGA